GAAGACATTTAATTCAAAAAGAAATTCACAGGGGCCAGCCAGATAGCTCAGCAGACTAGAGTGCCTGCTTAGGTAGAGAGCAGCGGCCAGGGTTTGATCTCCGGCGTGCTGTGCCAGCCCCAGCGATTAAGACTGGGCATGGTGGCACACGCCTGTGATCCCAGAGCTTGGGAGGCTGCAAACAGGGGGATCATTATGAGTCCGATCTACCTAGTGAGACCCTGTAGACCCTGTACTAAATACCTAAAAAACAAAAAATAAATAAAACAAGAAATTCATAGACTGAAAATCAAAGAATTGAAAACAATATTCCACGTAACAGGAATGAGAAAAAAGCAGGGTTAGCTATTCTATTTGCAGAAAAGTGGACTTTAAGCCAAAACTGATTAAGAGAGACAAAGAAGGCCACTACATCCTTAGAAAGGGAAAAACCCAAGAAGAGATAACAATCCCATAAAAGTATATGCACCAAATACCAGCGTATCCAACTATATATACTAAAAGACATAAGAAAACAAATAGGCACTAATATAATTATCATGGGGACCCTCATATCCTATAGACATTAACTAGACAAAAAAATTAAGGAAGAAATATCAGCTAAATAAAAAAAAAAAAAAAGCTGGAGAGATGGCTCAGTGGTCTAAAGCACCTACTTGGAACAAGCTTGGGAAAGCACAGGGACTGCGGTTCGATTCCCAGCACCACATGCCAGCCAGCCCTGCCCCCTGGTGGGCTGAGCTGGCCACACACACACACACACACACACACTAAATTAAAAAAAAAAAAAGAAATATCAGAATTGATCCAAACTTTTGAACATATGGACTTAGTAGAAGTCTACAGAATGTTCTACCCCATAACATCAGAATACACATTCTCAGCCACACACAGGATATTCTCCAAAATAAACTATAGAACATGGTTAAGTAAATGCGAAGGAATAGAAATTATCCCACACACATTATCAAACTATAGTGCCATGAGATTTGAAATTAGTGGCAAAAGAAACCACTTGGGTATAGTGACTTGCCCAAGGCCACAAAGTCAGGAAGTGGCAGAACTAAGATTTGAACCTAGACCACCTGGCAGGCAGAGCTCCCCTCATGCTCCTTGTGGGAATGGTGTGTCTTGGGGACCTATTCTGTGGCCCCATAACCTGACCCCATTCATGGGCACAGTCCCACATCCCTCAGTAGTCCCCAAGTACCTTGACAGCCTGGTGTCACTCACCTCCACAAGAGAAAAGGTCTCAAAGTTAGTGTCACTCAGCAGGATGGCCTTCTCATTGGGAATGCCACCCAGGATGAGCACAGGTGACTGGTCCAGAGTGTACCATAGAGGCCTCGAGGAGACATTTATGAAGTACTGGGGCGCCAGGTCAAAGAGCTGCAGGGGAGGCCATGGGTTGCTCAGCACTCTTGAACCCTCCCACGGCTCTCCCCCATTTAGGGAAAAGCCAAAGTCCTCACCTGAGCACAGGTCGTCCACCATTCCCCATCATTCTCCCTGAGCTCATTCCCTACCACTCTGCCCAGCCCTGTGGCCTCCACTTGCTTCTCAGTTGTACCAGGTACAAAGTGACCTCAGAGCTTTTCCATAGCTGTTCCCTCTGCAAGAAAAAATCCTGTGTCCACATGACCCCTCTGTCCTCTGAGGCTTTATGCAAGGTCAACTTCCAAGAAGTCTTCCCTGTTAGATCCATCTCCCTCACCCTCTTTGGTTTCTCTCCAAAGCATTTGCCATTTTTTTCTTCCAGGATTAAGTTTTCTATGAAGTCAGTCCCTTCACACTGAACTACATCCCCAGCCCCCTTTTTGAATTTTGAGACAGGGTCCAACTGAGTTGTTCAGGCTGAACTCAAACTTGGGTCCTCCTACTTCAGCCTTCCAGGGCTACCTTTTAATCTACAGTGAAAAGGCCTTGATGTTCACGTGTACTGCTTTGATGTCTGTCCCCCATGCTGAAATGTCAACTCCAGGAGGCAGGGCTTGGGGTCTGTGTGCTCACTGCTGTGCCCTCACGATGCCACAGTGTGTGTTCGGAATTGCTGAATGAACGAATGACTGAATGCACGAATAGTGGTGCAGAATGTGGTGCAGGAAACAAGCAGACAGTCCCCGTATCCTTTCATGTCTGCATACAGAAAGATGGTTCTCTCCCTTAGAGGATTAATGTTCTCCTCTTTAAAATGGGTATGTGAAGCCAGGTATGCTGATTCATGTCTGTAGCCCCAGCACCTGGAGAGGCAGAGGTAGGAGTACCACAAGTCCGAGCCCAGCCTGGGCAATTTAGTGATTATAGCACCTCTATCTCAAAAAGGTGGAGAAGCTTTGTGAAGGTGCTTCCCCCCAGGGTCACTGTAAAGATGGAAGCTGGTGTTGCATTTAGGAACTCTCCATGCTCAGCCAAGCATGGAGACAGTGCTTAGGAATGGGCAGGACCTGCTGCTTGTTTTCAGTAAGTAGGGGCCCAACCCAAGGTCCCTCACCTCCGATCCCACCGTGAACTCAATCCTGCCTTGCTTCTTCTTGAGGAAGCCATTGATATTCACGTGGAACCTGTGGCGGGCACAGACAGGCCCAGGGGAGGGTCCCATTTTGGGCACAGCTCCCAGCCCAGTCTCCTCACTCCCTTGGGCTTGGTGCCCCCTGCTCCTTTGGGGACCAGGAATAGGCACCCCTCCCTGAGCCAGCCCCCAGCCTGGGCTTGGAGAAGTGCACCTTTTATTGGGAATGAAGGGCCCCAGGCCATTGCTGGTGACCTCCACCTTCACGACCACGCTGCCATTCTGGATGGGCATGGGCATAAACCAGCTCATGGCGCACACCTCCTCCGCCAGGCAGGTCCCTGATGAGAGAGGGCACTGAGGTGCTGCCCGCCTGGGTCTCCCACTCTGGGGCCCCCTGGCTTGGCTCCCGCCCACCTGGGTAGCGGAAAGGGGCGGCCTCCATCCTGATCTGCAGCTGCTCTATCTTCCAGCGGTAGAAGTTCACGGAGGACTGGAAGGTGACCAGCACCAGGGGCTTCAGCCCCATCAGGTGGCCGCTGCGGACCAGGTCCTCAGAGGGCTGAGGGAGAGATGGCCCCAAGGCATGTCCTTACTACAGCGTCCGGGTCCCCGCTGCCTCACCAACCCCCCAGTGGCCAGTCAGGGCACGTGGCAGGCAGGATGGAGGGGTCATTCAGATGTGTGAAACAGCAGCAAGAGGTTGCTCAGTGCTGTCCCCAGGTGAAGGCTGCAGGGGCCCTGGGGTGGGGAGACCAACAGGAGGAAATCAATAGTTTCTGCCACTTTTGCCCTGCCCTGCACCTGAGGAGCACTTTGCCCATGTACCTTTCCATACTTTCTCCTTTACCTGCTGTTGAGCCTGAGTCAGCGTTTCCAGTCACAGGGAGCAGGTGCTGGGATGGCTTCCCTGCCAGGGCAACTAGGGCCGCTGCCACCCTGGCTCTGCCCACCCCTGTCTCCTGGCTCCTCATTGTCTTCACATCTGTCCCCTGCTCAGAGCCTTTTTAGGGCTCCCTGTCACTCAGCTGCCTATCACCTCCCTGAAAAAACTTTTTCCACAAAACAGGTCCCCAGTGCTAAAAAGGTTGGGGATCTCTGCCCTAAAAGACATAAGAAAAGAAAAAGACATATCAAGGCAGAAGTGGTGGTGCATGCCTGTAATCTAAGCACTTGGGAGGCTGAGGCAGGAGAATTATTGTAAATTTGTGCCTAGGCTGGGCTACATAGTGAGTTCATAACCAGCCTGAATTATACAGCAAGACGCTGTTCCAAAAAGCAAAAACAAAATAAAACAAAACAAAAATAAAAGACACATCAAGAAAGTGAGGGGCTAGGGAGAGAGCTCAGTGGAATAAGTGCTTGCCTGGCAAGCACAAGGTCCTGAGTTTGAACCCTGGTACCACCAAAAAAAAAAAAAATAAAAAGTAAAGCAGCATCAACTACTGCCTCTCCTTTTGGGGGCCAGTAAGATGGCTCAGTAGAATAAGCGCTTGCCTAGCAAGCTCAAGGGCCTGAGTTCAATCCCCGGTTCCACAAAAAAAAAAAAAGTGAAAAGATAACTTACAGAATGGAACAAAATATTTACAAATCATATTTGATAAGGAGTTAGTATTGAAATATAAAAAGAATTTTATAACAATAAGAACAAATAAACCAACTTAAAAAGGGGCAAACAAGCTGGGTGTGGTGATACACGCCTATAATCTCAGCACTCAGGCGGTTGAGGCAGAGGGATTTTTCAAGTCTAAGGCCAACCTGGGGTACATATTTAAAGGCCATAGTGAACTACATAGCAAGACCCTATCTCAAAACAACAACAACAAAAAATGGGCAAAGTATCCGAGTGGACATTTCTCCAGAGGATGGAGATAAATGGACAAAAAGCACATTAAAGCTGGGCACAGTGGCCCACACCTCCCAGCAATTAGGAGGCTGAAGCAGAAGAATCTTTGCAAGCTCAAGACCAGCCTGAGCTACAAAGTGAGCTCAGGGCCAGCCTGAACTGCAGAGTGAGACCCTGTCTCAAAAAATAAATTAAATAGGGTTAGCACTACACCTAAGAGTTCCACTTCAGGGCATATACTAAATACAACTGAAAACAGGTGTAAACACAAAACTTTGTACTTAAATGTTTATAGCTACATTGTTTATAATAGTCAAAAAGTACAAATAACCAAAATGTCTGTCAGTTAATAATAGACAAACAAGACATGGCTGTCCATATAGCAGAACATTATTTATTCATAAAAAGGAAATAGTGATGCATATTACAACATGAATGAACTCTGAAAACGTGCTAAGTGACAAGATGTAAAAAAAGGTACATATCGGGGCCAGGGAGATAGCTCAGTAGAATAAGCACTTGCCTGGCAAGCACAAGGGCCTGAGTTCAACCCCCAGTTCTGGAAAAAAAAAAAAAAAGGTACATATCATAAGATTCCATGTATATGTAGCCAGGTGTGGTAGTATACACCTATAATCCCCAGCACTTGGGAGCTGAGGCAAGAGGATCACTGTGGGTTCAAGGCCAGCCTACACTACAAATCAAGGCTGTTTTTTTTTTAATATTTATTTATTTATTTTGTGTGTGTGGCCAGCTCAGCCCACCAGGGGGCAGGGCTGGCTGGCATGTGGTACTGGGGGATTGAACCGTGGTCCTTGTGTTTTGCTTAGCTTAGCTTGTTCTAAGTAGGATGCTTTAGACCACTGAGCCATCTCACCAGCCCCAAGGCTCTGTTTCCAAAAAGATTCTATATATGAAACATTCATAACAGGCTAATCTTCTATGGGAAAAGAAAGTAGATTAGTTCTCTCTAGGGGCTGGAGAGGAGGAGACGTGAAATGAATAGTGTTTGCCAGTCAGCACAAAGTTTATTTTGGGCCTACAAATATTGTGCAAAAAGATAATAATGATGGTTGTGAGACCCTATCTCAAAAAAATTAATTGTACTTAAATGTATGGGAATGTTTTTGTTTTGCTTTGTTTTGTTTTTAGTTTGTTTATTTGTTTGTTTGATTTTGTGGAACCAGGGATTGAACTCAGGCCCCTGTGCTTGCCAGGGATGTGCTTATTCCACTGAGCCATCTCCCCAGCCCCTGTACTTAAATGTAGAATAAGCGCTTGCCTTATTAAATGGGGTTAGCATTATACCTAAGACTTCTACTCCTGGGCATATACTAAATATAATTGAAAACACCTTTGTAACTTTTATTAAAAAGTATCAAATTAGCTGGGCGTGGTGGCAGCATATTTCTGTAATCCTAGCACTTGAGAGGCTGAGGCAGGAGGACCACCAGGAGTTCAAGGCCAGCCTGGGCTACACAGTGACATAGTGAGCTTAAGGCCAGCCTGAACTACCTAGCAAGACCCTGTCAAAAAAAAAAAAAGAATTATACACTTTAAAATGATAAATTGGAGCTGGTATGTATCTCAGTGGTGAGCACTTACTTGGCAGGCACCAGGTCAGGTGAGTGGGTTCTGTCAATCTTAGTGTCCCCATCTAACCCTTTCCCCGCTACCTCCTGACATCCAACCCAGGGCTTCAGAAGTCACAAAACAAAAGCTGAATGTTACAGTATGTGAATTATCTCAAGAAATATGGCCAAAGGGGAGAAACACTTACTTAGGCAGATATTATGTGGGAGCAGAGATACTAGGAACTGTACATAGATAATCCTTTTTGATTTTTTTTTTTCTTCAGACAAGGTCTCACTCTGTAATTCAAGCTAGCCTTGAACTCGTTATGTAGCCCAGGCTGACCTTGAACTCCTCAGCCTCCCAAATGCTGGGATTACATGCATATGCCACCACACTTGGCTCTTTCTTTTTTTCATAGTGGAAATTAAACCTAGTGAACACTCTCCCATGTCCCCAGCCCTTTTATTTTTGAGACAGGGTCTCACTAGGTTGCTCTGGATGGCCCCGATACTTGCAATTCTGCTTCAGGCTCCTGAGAAACAAGGGAGTTATATGTGTCTGCACTGTGCCAGGCTTGATAATTGTGAATCTCTAATTACCCCAGGGTTGGACAGTGCTACTATTTGCCTAGCAAGGCAAGGCCTTGAGTTCAATTGGGGGAAGGCATGAGACTGGTAGAACCTACTCACCTGTCCCTCACAGGAGTAGCTGATTTTGAGGTAGTAAGGGAAGCCCAGGTATTTCTGCAAAGAGAGGTGGGTGAAGTTTTCAGGGCCAAGTGGCACTAATGCCGTGCCCTTCGGGTTTGTTGGACCCTGATCCCCTCACCTCCTGATGATCGATGGGAGAGTCCACTAGCATGCTGAATACACTGCCCACTGTATCCACGGGTTCTTGATCGTAGAATCGGTCACTCACGTGGGCATCACCTACCCTATCAAACTTGTTCAGAACAACCTGCCAGGTGCAGTCTTGGAAATCACCAGTTTTCCGCACCTTTGACGACACCAGTAGTATCTCCAGCAGTGCCAAAAACACCCACAGGACTTGTACTCTTGGCCACACAAAACTGATAGGGAACATGGCTGGGAAGTGCACCATGCAGCTACAACCTGCAGAACGCAGGGGTCAAAACCCTCCTGCGTGTCTGATCTCTTCCAGAGCTCTTGAACTTCGCCCCGCCCTTTTGTCTGGCCCCGCCTCTGCTTTTGCTTCTGGTCGGGCTTCTCTGCTTGGCCCCGCCTCTGCTTTTGCTCCGGACCCCGCCCCTGCTTTTGCTCCTGGTCCCGCCCCTCCTCTTGGCCCCGCCTCTACTTTTGCTCCGGACCCCGCCCCTACTCTTGCTTTTGGCCCTCCCCCTACTAAAACTCCTAGCCACGCCCTGGCTCCTGAGTCTACTTTCGCCCAGCCTCCTCCTTGTTCTGGCTTCACTCGGTTTTCTGTCTCGGTTTTTCTTTTTCACTTTGACAGAGCCCCTCTTGTTTTCCCTTGTCCCGCTCCGACCTGCGATCACATCCTTGTTCCGGCACCTGGCTCCCCGTTCACTCCTTGCTTCACGCCCCCACTTCTCTTGCCGCTGCCCGGGTCTCTTTCTCCTCGCTCGGGTCCCGGCCTGGAGCAGGTCGCTGCTCTGCATCCTGCTCCAGTTCACGCTCCTTGGGGCCCGGCCGGGCGCTTTCTCCACGCCTCGCCCCTTTCCTTTTCTCCTCCTGGGTCGGGGGCCTGGGGGCTGCTCCTCCCTGGGCTTCCTCCCCATGCCCCATCCTTTTCCCTGCCCCAGGTCTCCATCTGCCCGAAGACTCCCTGGCTTCGGGGGGAGCAGCTCCCCAGCTAGCTCCGGGCCCTGCCGCTTTTCCTTAGGGACCCTATCCGCGCCTCCTGACCTCTGGTAAGGGTCCCTTTCTTTCGTCCTGTTTCTCTCTTCCTTTCTGGCTCTCTCCTCCTGTTGGGATCTCTGTTCTCCAAAGCGCTTCTCCTCTCCCCAGGACCTTTCCTCGCCAAGGGTCTGCCCCTCCGCACCCCGCCCCTTCTGGTCCGAGATTTTGCCTCTGCCCGGTGGTCTCAGCTCACCCCAGGATCTCCCCTCCCTTGGGGATCTCTCCTCCCCTTGAGATCTCTCCTTCATCCAGGTCCTCTCCTTGCCCGGGAATTTATCTTCACCCGGGGATGTCACCTGGCCCCGAGATCTCTCCTCACCCCGACCTTTCTCGTGGAAGACTCTGTCTTCGCCCAGGGATCTCTCCTCACGCCAGGATCTCTCTCCTCCTCGGAGTCTCTCCTCGTCCCGTAATCTCTCATCTCGGGGTCTTCCCTCGCCCCTTGGTCTCTCTCCTCGG